GAACTCATGGTCTCCCAGTTTCTAGCCTGATGCCTTAACCACTACACCAAACTGGCTCTCAATATACACACACTCTGTGTGCATGTGTGTATATATAGTATATGTATGTGTATATGTGTATATATAGAGAGAGAGCATTAGCACCTACATAAAATGCTTCTCAATAACAGCTGCTGAACAATGCAGGCAAGTGGATGCTACTGCCCATATATCTGATTTGCAACCTGCCCAGAGGCTTCAGCTTGCACAATAAGAGAAGAGAATGCTAGCCAATATAATATCAATCTTTTATCTGATTCAGTAGGGCTTGTATTTGTTGAAGGCTCCCAGCCAACCAGGAAGCTTGGGTCAAAAAAGGATGACTGGGGAGAAAAGGTCATGGTCTCCTCCTCCTCCTCCCCCCATAAAGCTTTTCTCTATTGTTTTTACAGTGATTCCAAAGCTGAACAGTTTGCTGCTATATACCATTGTGCACAGTTACTGCAATATGGGATGCACTGTCCCTTCCTCCAGAAAAATCCCATTTATTTATTCAATTATTCTTATATACTATCCACTCCATACAATTCCAAGTGGTTTACAATACTAAGATTAAAAATACATAAAATCACTTCAAGCCAAAATGCAGCAATATGTATAAATAATAACCTATCAGTCCATCTATAAAAGGTTAACAAAACCCATAAAAATCATCCACCAAACAACTGACTGAAGGACAGCCTTTGGGCTCACAGCTTCCTGATTTGATACAGGAATGGGAAGATATTAATAAAGAATACTGTATAATGGTACAATATAATATACACAGGGTTTTTAAAAATCTTTATAAAGTTCTCTTCTGTCCCTTACTCTAGTTCATTATATTCAAGGCACTGTTAAAAACCTAAATGAGATGCAACCATCTTTGTTGATGCTAAACAGGTCTGCATATGGTCTGCATCTAGAAGTGGGGCTCTTCCAATGATGCTCAACAATTCCTCCCTGTGGTAATAGTTGCCAGGACTGCTACATCTGTGGTTCAACAACAGTATTTACAGCAAAATGTAAGGCTGCTGTTCCCTAATAGGACATCATCCTTTCTCAAACTGAACTGGCATGAGGAGCTAGCCACAGAAGAGCTGGGGGA